CCTCGTGGGCGTGGACCAGTCATAATATAACAAACGGGTTGTGTTCCCCACTGTTCCAGGAAATGCCCACACTGATGAGATCACAGATTCAGCAAAGTATTACAGCCTTGTATCAATTCCAAAGCACACCAGGGAATGTATAACAGCAAAAGCAATCAGGCATATAGTTTTTCTATCATTTCTTTCAACCTTTATTTTCACTTCAGTTTTGTGGGCAAATATTAGCTTTGAATCCTTCCTGTGAAATATCTAGAACCTATAGCTACCACTGCTTTCTCCCTGGATTTCCTAGCTCACATCTTATCAGTGAACAAGCATTTATTAAGTCGCTACAGTGTGCCAGGCATCATGCTGAGTTCTGAGGATGCAACGGGACAAAAACGAAAAAGGCCCTGCCCTCAAGGACCTTTCTATTAGGGGAGACAACACGTATATAGAAGTATATGTAGTCTATATAAAACAAATACATGGTAATTGTAGGACAGATAGCACTAGGAGCCGGGGCTCAGCTATCTAAAAGGATCTGTGTAAAGTATAAAGTGCTATGTAAATATGAGCTATTATTCTGTCATCTTTTTCTGGTGGACTTCATTGACACTTCATCTTTTTGTCCCATCTGTTCATTGCCATTGGTAACTCATAATACACCTTCCCCTAATACTCTGCATCTGCGCAGGCCAGAGGCCAAGTTATCAAGTTCCACGGATTCCTCCCACCACAGTATCTCTCCCTTTTTCCACCCAATTCCCACTGCTAGTTACAGGCTTTTATTACCAACCCTGCCAATGCTCCTAATTGGATTTTCCACTCCCAATCTGCTTCTAATTCGAAGACTAGAATAATCTAGCATGGTACTCCTCAAAAATCTTCAGTCTCCCTACTGTTTCCTGAATTAGGTTCAAGCTCCTCTCTGGCATTCAGGGCCCTGCTCCATCTAGTGCCTCTGTATATTTCCAACCTTTTCTCATATTCCTTTCCACATATCAGTAGCACCTGTCTCACAGAATGGTTGTGAAGATTAAATGAGACGTTAATGTTGATTGTTATTAATATGCTCCACTCTAACTGAATTATGTTCTGTACTTTCCCACCACCATAATAGCTCACATTTCTATAGGGTTTTCAGTTTTACAAGTATTTTACATTGCCTCATTTAATACAAAAACCCAGAGAGAAAGGTGCTACTATTACCCCCACTTACAGATGAGGAGACTTGGGGCTCACAGAGAGGCTCAGTGACCTAATAGTAAATTTCTGAAGCACGGGGTTTGTTCTTCCTGCCTGAGCCTGATATCCCCATACAACACTACTTCTTACAGTATTACTTTGCTCACATTTTTTCTCTATGTCTGCTATGTCTACTCTCTTAACCTGTTATACTGTGACCTATCTTCTAAAGTCTAATTCAATTGTCAGCTCCGCTATGGATCATTCCACAACTCCCCTGATCACTAATGACTGAAATCCTCCTCCTGCTGCCACAATATCACTTTGTTTTGCAATTTTATGATGCATTTACCATGTAATATTGTGTAATGTAGTGATACACACACACACACATTACATACATATATATATTTTGGCAATTGGGGTTAAGTGACTTGCCCAGGGTCACAAAGCTATTAAGCGTTAAGTGTTTGGTCTGAGGCCACACTTGAACTCAGTTCCTCCTGACTATAGGGCCAGTGCTCTATCCACTGCGACACCTAGCTGCCCCTATATATTTGTTTCATCCCTCCAGGAAACTCAGTTGTATGAGAGCAGGGACTATCCTCACCTATGTTTACTGAATGGATAAGACTTATGAATCAAAAAAAAAAAATAAAAAGATCAGTTAATCTGTAAAGAAAAGTAATAAATACATTGTACATAGATTACAATGTAAGTTTGCTTACAATTCTCTTTCTGGGTAACATTTTGAGTCCTATGCAGTATCTTCATTTTCTTCCCTTGATATAGTGGAGTTGCTTAATACTTGACTTGAAACAAGTAATGCTTTACTTTTACTAAAACCTCTTATACAAGAGCACCGAATTTAGAGCTATAAAGATTACCCAGTCCAGTCCTATCATTTTACAGATGAGGATACTACCTGCCAGAGAAGGGGGATGCTTAGCTCAAGGCTATTCAAATAGCAAATTTAAGAGCTAAAATTTGAATCCAGGTCTTCTAACTTCAAATCCAGTGTTATTCATCACTAAATCACCCTGACCTATAATAAATAGAGCGCTACCAGCCAAAAACTTAGGTGTATCTAGGAATCCCATCTAGGTACCAATACACAGCTGCAGTTGTGCCATTGTTTCCCTCCTCCCCCTTGGGACCTGTCAGTTACAAATCCCCACCTTATGAACTCCTTGATCTCAAGAAACCTTTAAATTATTGATTAGGTTTTCAAGGTACCTTGATATCGTGCTTGAATGTTTTGGTCTTTAGAGCAGGCATGTGCCCTAATAATAACCACCTGGTGTTATTTTACAAATCAATCTTATGTGAATTTGCTTAGTTTTGCTAAGTTTTCAGAGCCTGTTCACATGGATGAATTGGTAAAAGTGACTTCCTGAATGTGCAAAGTTGAAAATAAGACCCTGTATCGTGGTTTCCCCACTAAGTACATACCCTACCGGAAAACAAAACAACCATTTTACATTCCATAAAATTTTCAATTATGTTGTTCGGAGGGTCTATTTGCCTAATATTAATTGTGCTTTTCAATTACCAAACAGAAGATCCGATAAACAAACAGGCTCTTTCTCTTTCTAGTTATCACTGTTAAGTGGTAGGAAAAAGACCTAGCTTCCTAAAAGAGGGTGAGGAAAAGCTTACAAAACTGCATCCACTCCTCCTTCCATTAGAAATAGAAGAGGGTGGTGAGGAAAAGAAAGATATAGGGATCACATCCCTCCTCTGGGGCAGGGGAAGAAGCACCAGGAACACCAGCACTTTGCAGAGCTTAATGAAAGTGAAATCAAGACAGGAGATGACACAGTAAGAAGGGAGCACTGTGTGCCAGGCATTGTGCTAGGAGGCCCTGAGGGAGACAAGAATAAACAAGATCACCTGATGGGGCTCACCATTTTACTAGAGGTGATGAGACCGACACATAAATGGAACCCAAATCACAGCACAAATAGCACATGAAGGTATACACACTTCTATTTTGCTGGGGTTGGGATCCTGGCAGTAGCAAAATCTGCTGAGAACCACTACTGATACACCATAATGCTGTGCTTCTCAACTTTTGGGAAAGCCCCATAAATTGAAAGTAAGCACAGCAGGTATGAGGAGTCAGGTCACCTCTGTACCCAGGCTCTGTGGGTGGAATATTTGATTTCCTGCTTCAACACAGTACAAGGCCTCAAGCTGAGGCATGGTTTCCCTTTCTTGTGGGCAGCCCTTGGACTCCCCACAAAACTACTATGTTAAAGAGAGTGGCAAAAGTACTAGCAAAGGTAGTTCAACTAGAAATATGTCCACCATGATGTCACCGTCTGGGTAAAGAATTCTGGCTCTGGTGGATAGGATAAATCTGAATGTAAGCATAGCACTGGGGTCTGTTACTGACTTTCTATGTCTAACTTCTGGCAAACCACCTCTCCCTCTTTCAGTTTCATCCCCTTATTTAAAAATGAGTAGACTGGCTGGCTCCTAACTAGTTACCAAAGAAAAGAGAAACAAGCAAGGTGACAAGTTAGGTCAAATCAAGTATTGTGGCCTATGACCTGTCTAGCACTATGCTGGGGCAGGAGAGTAACAAAAAGCAAGCAAGCAAACAAAAAAACCACCCCCAAAACCTTTAAGATTCGGAGAACCTGGTAGCCGACAGCATTCCAGCACCAAAGTTTTGGCTTTTTGGTCTCAGTTTTCCCCATTTCTTCCCAATTATCTCCATCTTCAGCCCCAAGTTACACTGTCCTACTTGCACAAAAACCATGTAAGTCTGCAGCTAATCCTGGACGCTGCAGTTGTGTGCCAAAGTTCCTCTACCGTGGCAACTGAATTCCTCGCTAAAATCTCCTCGAGAATATGTCAACTTTGGCTTAAGAAATCGACTCCGAGACACCACAAAACCCTCTGGAACCCACCCAAAGTTACAGTCTCTCCCAGGCTCCGTCCACACACTGGTGCAACCTCCCTGCAGTGTAGCGTTACACTTTTGACAGACGGATAAGGCTGAGTCGAGTTGCCACGTTTAAGACCCGTCCTGTCATTAAAATAAATCATAGGAATATACTTATTACCATGTGTTCTAAAACAAAGCGCTATTTCAATAATAGGGGGTAGGAGGGTTCCTATTCTCAGTTTGGAAATCTTTTTCTCTCTTTAAGACACTTCAGAGGTAAAGAACGGGAGGGGGTAGAAATCGAACTCGAGACTTATATTTTGGGCGGTCCCGCGCTAACCATTTTTGTAGGTGGTTGAAAGCGGAAGGGATTTCTTTTTTTTAGCTAACAGGGTCCAAACTCCTAACCCACGCACTTTCCAATGCACAGCCAACGGCGTGTGGTGCTGCGGGACCGAGGACGTGGGTGGGTGGCAGAGCAGCACGGAAAGCCCCCGGGGCTTTGCAGCGTCCTCCCCCGCCGGCCCAGCACGTCAGCCCGAGCTCCGGGACGTTTCCCCCTTCCCCCGAGCCCCCCCCCCACCCAGTGGCGGGGCTCCGAGCACGCCAATCAAACCGAACCCTCCCGCCTCCCGCCAAGAAAGCAAGCGGAAAAAGAACAAGAGAAAGAAAAGAGAAGAAGCGAAGTCATCTCAAAATCCGTCCGCTCGGAGGCCGCCGGCTCGGGCTCCCCGGCCAGGACGGCCGCAGCCCGCCCGGCCCCGCAGGCCCAAAGGCAAGGCTGGAGGCGCCCGGGCCGCTCCCGCCGCCAGCCGCGTGTCCTCTCGCCCCTTCCCGGCCCTCGCCCTCGGCCAGGCCAAGGCTGAGCCGCAAAGTTGGGCGAACGTCCCGTCCCGGCCCCCCGGCCTCCACCCTCCCGCGCCTCCAATCTACTCACCGGCCACTTGGACGCTGCAGTTGTGTGCCAACTGGGGGGGAGCCCGGGGGGACTTTGAAGGCAAAGCTGGGGGCGGCGGAGCGGGGAAAGGCGAAAGGGCGAAGGAAAAATATGAAGCCCGGCCGCGACAGCAGCGAAGGCGCCCTGGGCTCCGGCGGCTCCCCGAGCTCGGCTCCTGCTCTGCCAGGGACTGCGCTGCAACAAAGGACTTCCGCTGCCGCACAGCCGCGCCTGCTGCACCGCACTGAGCCGGCCCCGCTTACGCGGCGACTCAGGGTCTGCCCACCCGTTCGCTGCGGCGGCGGCGGCGGCGTCCGCCAGCTTTCCCCTCCCTCCCTTCCTCCCCTCCCGCCCACCCACTCCCTCCTCAGTCGCTCCCTCGCTCGCTCCTAGGGGCACTCGCGGCAGCTCGTGGCTCTGCAACAAGTTTCTGCGTCGGGGCTGGCGCTATCCGTACTGGGAGGGTTTCCACAAACTTCGGGAACGGATGGGAAGGGATGATCTCGGGATTCCTCCCGGCGGTGTTTTGGGGTTTTGGGTTTTTTTTTTTTTTTCCACGGCTGTATACCTAAGGTCATTGATTAGGCTGGCGTTCCCAACTCCCCCGGGGTCCGGATGCTGCTTTTTTTTTCCGCCCCCGAGTCCCACACGTTATGGCTTCTGACGTGTAGGGCCCAACAGAGGGACTCTTCCCCGCACCTCAGATCTGCAAAGCACTGGCGCCGTGACAGTGTCTTTTTTCGCGAAACACTTAAAAGCCCGTGGGCTCTGCCCTACGGTAGGGTCGGCGGTCACAAAAACGCCAGCCCCCACCCGCTTTGGTTCGGCAGCCCCTTCGTGCTCCACCCTGCCCAACGCTGCACTGGTGTCGAGGCACCAAGGACCGATGGTCTTAGCCTGAGATTCCACCCCCACCCCAGGTCCTGTCACAACCCAGAGTCAGTCAGCTTCACCGGTCTTCCCCCACCCTCACGTTTCTCAGCAGGGAAGCCCATGCTTTTTGTACGCTTTTAGTAAGTCATCGAAGGGGGCCAGCATGCGCGTGCGCTCGTCAGTGTGTAATCCGCCAGCCGACGCGCAAACCCGCTCCCTACATCTTGGACCCGAGGCGCGGCGGCTGGAGCAACGCAAAGCAAAACCTCGCCCGTCCAGCCACCTGCGCGCTTACCCTCGTTTTCGAGTCTCTCGTTTCCCCCACTACGACCACGCGCGCGGTCACGTGGGCCATCTCCGACGGCGGGGGGGGGGGTGTCGCATGAAGCCGCGCGAGACCCGGGGCCGCTGGGTGAGCGCGCGAGCCGCTGCCAGGTCCCCCGCTAGGAGCCTGCAGCTCCCCCCGCTCCCTTCGCCTGTTCCCCCTCCCCCCACTAGTCTTCCCGGCCCCTCCCCCGCCGAGCAGCGGGCAGTGCCGCGGCGGCACCTGGGTAAGGGATGCACCTCCATAGCCCTTTTGGGTTTCTCCGTTCCGATCGCAGACTCCGGGCTTGAGCCGCTCCGCGGAGGCTTGCAAGCTTCCAGCACCCGTCGCGAGACCGATGCAAGTAGCTCGGGGGAGAGGGGTGGGATTTTTGTTTTTGTTGTTATTGGTTTTGTTTTCGTTTTTTTTTCTTTAGTTTTGGAGGTGCATAAAAGGGAGGAGGAAAATGGCAACCAGAAGCGCCCTCCGAGGCCAGGATGCTCAGGAGCTGCCCTCCCCTCCTCCCTAGTCTCCGGGTGGCAGGGTGGTGCCCTTGGGGGCCACGGTGTTGAGTGCATTCTGCCCGGAATGGGGCGGCCGCTACAGGGGGATGGGGGCCTGAAGACGGCCGCCTTAAAGGGACCTCTCGCTAGAATCTGGAGTTTCTCCGTCTGTCTCAGGTGGGGGAGCCCCCAGGATTCTGCTTGGGCTCCCTCTGCCTAGAGAAAGGGGGGACACAGGTGTGAATCTGAGGGTCCAGATGTAGGGGATCTGCCTGCTTCTGGGATGGACTGCAAATCCTCTTCCCGCAAAGACCCCCCCCCACCCCCACCCCGCCCCAGTCCAGCCTGCCCGTGGTCCGTTCTCATTATGCAGAACCGAAGCGCGATGCTTCTTCCATCGTTCAGCCACGCCCCTGCCCGGTTTGGGCTTGAACGATTCCTGGGGCGCGAAGTTCTTCCCGTGACTCATTTCATCAGTTTATTGTCATCACCTCACACCAGCTTTAGTCTACCGGTCAAGTACCTTTATTCTCCACCTGCCGTTACTTTGCCCCCGTTTTTTTACAGGGTCATCATCGTTTACCCAGCTCCATACGGCTTGACCGCCCTCCCCCAGTACTCCATACAGGTTAGGCGGGAGCTCTTCTGAGGCCTCTCAAGTCCCTTCATTCCCTTCCACAGGAATTTCTCAGGTGTCAAAAGTACAATTCAGAATATTGGCTCTGGAAGGGAGCTTCCAGATCATCCAGGCCATCTCCCCCAATTGAAGAAACTGAGGCCCAGAGACTTTTATTGAGCATTTTACCCATGCCTACACAACAGTGTAGTGCCATCTTCCCGACTTTTAGGGTTATTTTTCTTTTCTCTACATCATAACTTTCACTTAAATTGTAAAATAAATGAATTTTAATTATGGACTGGCCTGGTGAATCAAGCAGTGCTAGTGTATGCCAGTTCATACCTTGAGTGAGTGTTTTAGGATAAAACCAAATATTTGGTAAAGAACAAAGACTACCTATGTTGTGATTTGAGGAGCAAAAATGTGTCAGCCCCTCCCAGGGCTTGTTAATTGCCCTGAAATTCTTATTGTGAAGGCATTGGTCGAACTTTTTGTGATCTGACAATGTGTCAGCCAACAAAAAATTAGCTCATTAAACACTTATATAAGGATTGTTGTAGACACTATATTAGGCACTGGAATTAATCCATCCTAATTTGCTCGTAGTCTGTTGATGGAATGGGGGGGGAAGCTAAATTTGAAACCATGCCTATCTAAATCAGAGTAAAAAGGTTCTTCTGGAAGTTCTGATAGCAGCCTTTAGGAATTTTCAAGTGCTTGGACTTTGTGGTGCATTTTTTGGATGCAAAGAGACTTTTTTTTAATAGATGAGGAAACTGAAGTTAGATGAAGGCAAATGATCTTTTCAGAATTGCAGTTAGTGAATAGTAAAGTCTTGACTTGAATTTTTATCTTTGAAATTTCAAACCCAGGGCTGATTCTGTTTTATGATGCTGCCTCTCAGCAATAAGTGTGGCTTGGTGGGTATTTGCTGGCTTTCTTTCTGTTCCTCTGTTATGATACTTCATTTCCTGTCTCCATGTATTTGCACTGGTCGTTCCCCACACTTACAATCTATTCTCTTCTCACCTCCACTTCAAAGAATTTCCTCATGTCCTGAACAGAACTAAGAAAACAATTGATACCACAACAATACTGTAAAGACAACAGTTCTGAACAGTTAAGCAGCTCTGATGAAGGCAGTGACCAACCAGAATTCCAAAGGACTACCCACCTCCAGATGGAGAGATGATGGACTTAGAGTACAACAATCCTTATATAATGAGTCTTCTCACTTGTAAGTCTTTTAAGACCATACCCAGACAGGCCCCATCCTGCTTTTTGGGGTTTCCTTCTTAACTACTCTTCATCCATAACTTTTTCAAACTGGTCTAAATATTCCCTAGACATTTCTGTCATGGGATTTTTATTTACAGTCACCTAGAAAACTCTTTCCCTCATTCCCCAGTCTTTGGATTCCTGTTCTTTCAAGACTCGGCTTATTTTTGAAGTCCTAATCAGTGAATATTTGTTAAATGAATGAATGAATGAATGAGGACTAGGAGCCTTGGGGAGGTGAGGGGAGAGATGATTCTAGGCATGGAAAGGGCAAGTGCTTAGAGCCTGAGTGCTTAGAGAAGAGGGATGGCTGGGTCCCCCTTTGCCCACCTCACAGTTTGGCTTGGAGCAGGCCCAGTTTGAATGTGCATTATTAATGGGGAGGGCGGTTGCTGTCTGTTCCCTCCCCCTTTGGGATCGGGAAGGAAGGCTGAGGGAAGAGGCCTGTGACTGGGTTATTGGCGCCTGTGGTTCCAAGACTCTCTATTGCCCTTGAAGAGTGGCACTCTCCCTATCCCAGCCCCAGAGTTGGGGGATGCTAAAGGAGCCAGGCTGTCTAGATGGGAGGAGGGGCCTAAGTGTCTGGGCCATTAAAAAAAAAAAAGTCCTGGTCAGGGCTCTGCTGGGAAGTGTTACATAGTACTTTTCCTGCTGTTATGCTGAATTGATTTAATGTGACCTGGAGGTGTCACACTTGGTAATGAAAAATTCATCCATTTTATAAAGTAGATTAGGTTCGGAAAAGAGTTAGGGGCTTTACATTGCTTCCAAGTGAATTCTGTAAAGACAATGTTACTTCTAATTTAGAAGAAAAGAAAGAAAAATCTGCAGTAGAAAACATTACAATCCTTCTTGCTTGCTAAGTTACTGAAAGTAGGGAGGGAAAAGAAGGTGGAAGTACTGATTGAATTATTTTCTTCCTTTTTGTTAATATGAAGCTATATGAACGTCTTGTCTTTTAGTTCCTGTTGTACTATGGTCATTTATTCTATGAATCCTTTGCAGTTGATTTGCTTTCCGTAATAAATTGATTTATGATGTTATATATAATATAAATAATAATTATCATTAATATATAATAATAATATAAGAAGAAACTCAGAGCACTTCAAGGACAGTGTCTTTTTAGCCCCTAAGGAATAATGACTTCCTGGTGTATTGTATGGCTGGATTGAGGAAGAAGACTCAGTTCATATCAGATCCTTTTCAACTCTTGCACTGTGCTGTGGGTGTGCCTTTACTTTTACGTTGTTTTCTTAAATCCCTCTTTTTCTTTTAAGATATCCTTGATCTTATTTTCTGTTCATGAATAATAAAAGAGAAGTGCCCTGGCATAGTAGAGAATCCTGTCCTAGAGTCAAGATTCAGTGCCCGCCTCTGACATATTTTGTGTGATTATGAACAAGTTGTTATATTTTGCAGATGAGTTGCTGATCTGCATCTGTGGAGGGTATTCTACACTGGGAAGAAAGTCTTTAGATTGCTGAAATCACAGGCTCTTCACCTCCTCTTCCCCCCCCAAAAAAATTATAGTTCCATTTTTTAATTACCTAAACAAGTATATATTTCCTTATTCTTTCCTACTGAAGGCTGCTGGTGTCTTTTAGGCAGTCAACTAACCAGCATTTGTTAAGTGCCTGCTATGTGCCATTTACACGTTCTAAGTGCTGATGACATGAAGAAAATCAAAAGAAAGTCCATACTCTTAAAGAGCTTACAGTCTAATGGGTGAGACAACAGGTAAACAACTATGTACAAATAAGTTCTGCACATTACTTTGGCCATAAATCAAGAGAGGCAAGGCAGTAGCATTAAAGGGACTTGGAAAGGCTTCCTTCAGAAGATAGAACTTTAGCTGAGACTTGAAGGAAGTCAGGGAAGCCAGGAGGTGGAGATGAAGGGTGAAAGAGTGCTAGATCCATTTATATTTTTGTTCTAGTGGTGATGGTGATGTTCAACTCTTCGTGACCCCATTTTGGGGTTTTCCTGGCAAAGATGCTGGAATGGTTTGCCATTTCATTTTCCAATTCATTTTACAGATGAGGAACTGAGGCAAACAAGGTTAAGTGACTTGCCCAGAGTCATACAGCTAGTAAGTGTCTGAGATAGGATTCAAAATCAGGAAGATGAATCTTCCTGCTTCCAAGCCCAGGGTTCTATCTACTTCACCACTGGTGTTAGCATTTTTTTTTTTAAAACCATACTTCAGGGGCCCCCGAGTATCCTAGGAGCAGTGTGATAGGTGCAGAGAACTGAACATCAACATTCGGGAGTTGGCAAGTTACAATTTTTCTGCCCCTTTAAGGATATTTAGAACATCTCTTCCTCTCGTCTCTCCTGCCCTGTGTCAGTGTTCTAAATATTTTTTTATATTAAAGGAAATTCCTGCACTTGGCTCACATGAACATTTTGAACACTGGTTTCAGTCTTTGGATTTTCGCCCCTGGGTCAGGTATTGTAGACATAAATATAGGGAGTTAGAAGTTAATGCTTTCCACCAATATTTTCTCAGAAAAGATTTCTCAAAATGGTAATATTCTTAGTTTGCAATGAACTTATCTTGGAGTTTTGGACTCTGAATTAGAGTTTATGCCATTGATTTTTGAATGTTTATCTTTATTACATTTTGCTTTCCTCTGACATAAAGAAAGTTTACTAAACTCAGAACATTAGAGTTAGAAATGCTAACCTAAGTATTTATGGCTTCTTGGCATTTGTCAGGCATTTTAAATTTGTTGACCTTTTATTTTTGCATATTTATGGGCTCAGAAGATGTGTATTAGCCCCTTTGTAACACATTCATGTGGACAGAAGGAATGTAAGGGAGAATTTAGTTCATCAGACATTTATTAAGCACCTACTACATGCAAAGCATTGTACTATGAGTAGAGGACAAAAAAGACCAAAATTGAAAATGATTCCTTTCTTCGTGGAATTTGCAGTGTACCGGGGAGTAAATGTAAAATGTAGCATGGCTCATATTCTGAAACTCTGTGCTCCCTCGGACTCCAGTGGACCCTGATCAATCTTGAGACTTCTCACTAATAACTTAATGGTTTATATCCCTCCTCAGGGTTTTCCCTGGAGACATCAGAATTTTGATCTTGTCGAAATGGGTCAAGTCCCATACAAGCACTCAGGTGCTTATCTATAGGACAGATTTCTTTTAACTGGACAGAAACCATCTGATACATTAATTTTGTTGTGCAGTAGGCTGCCCAGTCCTACATTTCTCATTTTTGAGGATCGTTAAGTCCAAGGAGGTCAGTAACAGAGAGAAAGAGCCTGATTGTAACAAATTATTCATTGAGAGATGAATACATGAATGAAATACCTATTATAGACATTGTACCCGTAGGTCTTGGTGGAGATGATGTAGTAAAGATTCACAAAAGAGAATTTAGATTGTGCTATCATGGATATTTTTGTCCATCTTAGACAAAAGAAAAAGAAAAGAAAGAAAACTAGCCATAGAAAGTCAATAAATACAAAATTATGATCACATCTCACATGCTTTAATGCTTCGATTGATCACAGTGATGGAGGTACTCCTTCAGTAGTTACTCCCATCATACATCTCTTCATTGCAGCTTGGTTAATCCGCAATTTTATTTCTTTAAAAAAAAATTTTTTTTGGGGGGGGAAGGGTTGCCTTTTCAATTCTGACCTGTCTTCTCTCATCCTGCACTAGAGAAGGCCACTGTACTATGCATACTTCTGTCTATCAGTTCTTTCTGTAGAGGTAGATAGCATCTTCCTTCAGAGGTCTGTTGTAGTTGATTTGAGTATTTGCAATATTCAGAATAACTTAATTCACAGTTATTCATAAAACAATATTGCTGTTACTGGATACAATGTTCTCTTGGTTCTGCTCATCTCACTCTTAATTATTTCATGCAAGTCTTTCCATGTTTTTCTGAAAATCAACCCGCTTTGTGTTTCTTACAGCACAGTAGTATTCCATCAGAGTTATATACCCCAACTTGTTTAGTAATTCCCCAGCTGATGGATGTTCCCTCCATTTCCAGTTCTTTGCTACCACAAAGAGAGCTGATATGTGCAGTATTTACTCTTGGGCATAATTCCAGATCGCTCTCCAAAATGGTTGGAACAGTTCACAGTTGTACTAATGTGTATAAATGTCCCAGTTTTTCCACATCCCTTCCAACATTTGTCAGTTTCCCGTTCTGTCATTTTAGTCAAGCTGATAGCTGTGATATGGTAGCTCAAGGATGTTTTAATTTGCATTTCTCTTATCAGTAATGATTTAGAGCATTTTATATGACTCTATATAGCTTTGATATCTTTGTCGAAAAACTGCCTGTTCATATCCTTTGACCATTTATCAATTGGAGAATGACTCATTCTTTTAAATTTGATAACGTTCTCCACATATTTAAGATATGAGTCCTGTGTCTGAGAACCATCTATAAAAATTTCCTCCAGTTTTCTGCTTTCCTTCTAATCTCGGCTGCATTGGTTTTATTTGTACAAAGCTTTTTAATTTAATGTAATCAAAACTGTCCACTTTACATCTCACAGTGCTCCCTCTTGTGTATTCGTAAGTTCTCTTATCCACAAGTCTGATAGGTAACGTGTTCCACGTTCTTCTGATTTACTTACGATATCTTCCTTTATATCTAAATCTTGTATTGGGGCAGCTAGGTGGTGAAGTGGATAGAGCGCTAGCCTTGGATTCAGGAGGACCTGAGTTCAAATCCAGCTTCAGACACATAACACTTAATAGATGTGTGACTTTGGGCAAGTCATTTAACCCCATTGCCTAGCTGGAAAAAAAAAAAAAGAAAAGAAATCATGTATCCATTTTGACCCTCTCTTGGTAAAATCCACAGTTTTCTTTAGCACTTGTTTCCCACATTGACATGTAATACTGGAAGACTTGCTATTAAATAGTCAGTCAGTTAACCTCGAGTGCCCTAAGGCAGTCATCTCCAAACT